TGCAGATTTTTTGGGAGTTTATGTGGAGATTGGCAACCTACCTTTATCCTTACCTCAAAACCGAAAAAAACTAGTCTCGAAGGGTGTAAATTTTTATATCAAAGCCATCGTTTCGCATTGTACGTTTTCACCGTAAATCTCTTCGAGGAAAAGAAGTTGTCTTTTCAGATTTGTATTTTACGGCTCTCTTTATAAATTGTATATATTCCTTTTTTTACGTTTCTAGCTAACCCAGCAATTTTTTATAATTGAAACACTTCAGTGATCTCTGAGTTAATAGCAACCCTTCACATAAAGTTCATTTCTCGCCTTTCCCTATCCATGGCTATGAGCACTATTTCTTACAGGTTGGAGATGATGGTGTAAACGAGTATCCAGAAAGCAGCGCAGCTGTGCAACGCGAAACAGACTGCTCGTATACAGTATGGTGCTCAGGACGAGTTGGTGTCAATGGAATGCTCATTCAGGTTGGTACAGTATGAAACTGAATATTAGTTTAGGGAATCAATACCATTTCTATTAGTCATTAACATCAACTATTCAGATCAAAACTATGAAACGACAAGACTTGATAAGCAGGATAATGGCATTCTTTTCGCCACAAAAGGATAGGATCACATTCAAGGTTGGCTGCTTTCTTTCACCTAATTTTGCTTTTCTAGAACACAGTTCTATACTTTAGTGCAAGCTGTTCAACTATTTTTTAATGTTAATTTTGATCATACTATTTATTTATTAGGTCTATGGTCTTTGTTCTGGAATTGTTCTTACTTTCAAGGCTGCATTTTAGCTCGAGCTCGACCCTGGAGAGCTTGATTCCTTCGTAATGATCTTTGGTCAAAAGAAACCTGTCGTTAAACAACATAAAGATATGCTCGACCTCAGCACTTATACAGTGGAGAAGAAAACAACTTCACAGTTTGGGTTACCACCAAGGTTGGAGCTTTCTTTTGTTGTTTTCTACCATCTCTATATGCCTCATAATGCACCTATGCAGTTTCGCTCTGTACACAGAACAAGTTGAGGCCACTTATGCTATTTTTGAACCTGGAGTATCTGCAATACTTCGTAAATATGAGAAATCCATTGAGTACGTACATATATCCGATCAGTACAGTGGACCGAAGCCACCGGAGTATGTTTTATTTTATATTTTTCTGCTTTTCCCTTCGGTATCTCTGTCTTTAACAATGATTTAAGAGGAGAAACTTATACTCGATTGCCGGAAGTTGTGCGGTTGGTGCAATTCAGCTTGAATCTTGACGAATGTCGTGATAAAGAAGCACAAGCCGAGTTGCTTCAACTTATGTTCTATATTGTGGACAAGGTAATAGCCCAATCTTGCCAGAAAGTATCTATGATTTCCTTTTTCTTGTAAGATTCGCAAGTTCCGCTTGAGCAAGGAAGCCAAGCAGAAGGCGGATAAGAGAAGGCGTGAAGTCGAAGAAGCGTTCATCAAAACAACGCATCAGCTGCGACAAGAAGCTGCACAGGTATTTGATATGACTAAAAGGTTATTTCGCATCCATTTAGAATCAAGTTATGACTCTTTAGGCACGGCGTGAAGAGAAAACTCGGGAACGAAAGCAACGACTTTTAGAGGAGGAGGATCCAGAAAAGCAAAGACGCCTTGAGGTTTGTTCAATGCAGAAACACTTTTTTCCTGCATTTCGCGGCGGACGCGACTATATAAAGCGGTGTTTCAATTTTGAATGAAGCGGTTGAAAATATATCATCTTCTCAAAGAGATTTTTCATGTTGAGCTTATCTGCAATGCGGAGTTGCTAATTTATAATT